CCTCAGCCCCCTCCCTGCGCGGCCCAGCTGCGTCCCAGGCCTCAGTCCCCTCAGCCCGCATGGGAGACGGAAATAACAGCCCGCTCTTTCTGTTGGCGTGGTAACGGCCCCTCTGCTTTACTCCCTTGTGCCTCCCCGGCTGTGGTTCCCCCTTCCCCTCCAGGCGCTGAGGCAGGAAGTCCCTTTCCCGCGATGGCAGCACCCTCCCTCTGTCCATACGTGTAGCATAGCGTACCCCAAGTGCATCATATCTGCCCCAGCATAGCTGCGCTCCTACTGCGTAAACTTTACTCGTCTGTGCCAGGTGGGAATTCTTGTAGTGCCGTGTCCTTGCCTGTTCCCGTATGCGTTATGGTGTTCCCTTGTATGTTCTAGCCCCTGTGCCCGTGTGTGTGATAACCCCCAATGAATGCAACCTACGCCATTTTCTTGCAGTGAACTCTGTTCTGCTGAGCCCTGGTTGTTCATATTCCACTCAAGGATTAATTGTAGGGTGTTTTTAAATTTTTGCTGTCCCACCTTTTAGAGTTGTAATACAGTTGCTGTCTGCTGCATCTGAGACTTTTCCCACAGGTTTAAATGCATGTAAGTTACATCTATAGCAACAGTCATCTCCTGTATGTTGGGCAGATTCCTTCAGATAGATACAAGTATCTGTCAGATCTCTGGGATCAAGATCTTGCTGATGAGTCTGTAAACTTTCACTGCAAACTGTTAATGTCAGGTTTGATCCTGCAGTAAATTAAGAAGTTAAAGTTTTTGGGTGGAGATAGGCCTGGATTATACTATCAGAGACTAAATAATGAGTTTACAGGTTGCTCCACAGGTGATAGACCTCCCGTTACATTTATTTTCTTCTGTTTGTGTCATATGCAGTATCAGACAAAGTGATACATTTCATGTCATGTTACTGATCTTGTTACCCAGCTAATTATATATATATATGTGGTGTGTGTGTATGCATATATAAGCTCTCTATAGTAGAGAGGCTTTAAAATTTTGTGGAAATAGTTACTTAATAATATTCTAGTGAGTATATTTAGTATAAGAAAGATATTCCTTTACAGTGACATAAAAAATAATGAAATTTAAGATGTTTTTAAGGTCAGAAGAGACAATTCCTTTTTGTTTGATTTGGAAGTCTTGATGTTTGTGTGATATATAATGTTGAATTTCTTTGTGAACCTCAGAATACCAGTGTTGACTACAGCATAACTTCTTCAAAGCCTGAAATGATTGCTATCTGATGCTGCAAATGTAATTTTAGGAAGTTTCCAACACCTGTTAATGCTTGAACAGTATTCATTACCTTTCGAACAGTTACTTTTATACAGTCTTACTGTACTCATGTGTATCTGCTACTGGCCAGAAAAATGTTATTACTTTGAATTTTCTCTGGCTTTGGAAAAAAGATATATAAAGATATGGTATACAGTATGTATGTATTCAAACTATTAGCAAATAAGGCCTGGGCATAGGTTTGTTATGTCATCTGGATTTTTTTCTTTTGTCTTTTAGTTTTAAATTTAAGAGAAAATGTCACTTTACGATGACTTGGGAGTTGAGACCAGCGATTCTAAAACAGAAGGCTGGTCCAAGAATTTCAAACTACTACAGTCTCAATTGCAGGTGAAGAAAGCGGCTCTCACACAAGCAAAGGTATAGTCCCTTTGTATTTTTGCTTTCTATTATTCAAACTTCGTTTATGTTTAGAGCACTGAGGAAAGTTTGTGACCTTAGAATACTGATTTGGGGTAATTTTGCTAGGATTTGTCTGTGACTTTGTAGCAAGGAGCCTAGCAAAACTGAGGGGGGGGAAAGGTGAGATGTATGGTAAAGGGAGTCTTGCAAAATTAAAATTGAATGAAGAACTGATGTGTGTGCTGTAAACCTCAGATCTTTTAACTGGCAGAGCCAAAAGCTGATCTTCAAATCTAACTTTAAAGTTAATGAGATTAAGCTTTTTTTTCTTAAGGGTGATACTGTGATTGATAGTTGGCAGTACTGACTGTTGGTCATTCTTAGCATTTTGCATCAGTTGTTATTTACATGTTTGCATCATTTTATGCTTGCTTGTTAAAAGGCTTTCGATGCTAAAGTGCAAATTGTTGTGCATTAGAAATTTTTGCGGAAAGTATTTCCAGTGTACATGGAAAGGAGGAGGAGTGCAGGCTAATTCCTTGGGCGTAAACTGTGACAGAGCCACTTTCTGTTCACGTGTGTGTTCTCTGTGGTGTATCGGTTCTAGAATAAGATTACTTAATTAAAAAAGTAGTAGTAGCATAGATGTTGAAAAGTAGGCACAGCATTTTTTCCATTGGAATTGCTCCTGATTTATGCTGCTAAAATTGAGGGCAGGATTTAGTTGATAATTGGAACAACCTGCATGAATGAAATCTGAATGGCTACTATATTAGATATATTCTTTGTCTACGTAACTAATATGCCGTGTATGCATAGACGAATAAAATTAGAAAATTCAACAGTTCAGAATAGATTAATACATTTTATCAGATGATAAAATATGAAGAACAGTACATCTTCGGAAGAAGTCTGAGCCCCTTCTTAAAAAGAAACATTCGCTTCAAACTCATCTGAAGAGATCATGTGAATTTTTAATGTGTTTTGTAAACCTAGGACCCATAACGTGTGAATATAAACCTAGGACCATTCAGCTGCCACTGTATGTTCTAGTGCATGCACAAGCAAAGTCTGATCTCACTTGCTTAAAAAACAGAAAGGTATGCACTGGTTTCACTGAAGCATTCTTTGAAATATTGCATCAGGTCTGTATTTGTGTAGCAGCTCTTTAACCATAGTTGACAAGCATCTGTCTCGGAACTAAGCAGCCTTTGCCACCACTAAATCATGACATAAACTTTGTTATCCACGTCAAGGTTCATTAGAAATGTTGAGAATTACTGTGTGTTGATAAACTGAAGAGAAATGATATACTGAGCTTTGCACAGTGAAGAATTTGAAACAGTGGTTTTCATTCTTTAAAAAAAAAAAAAATGGAGATACCAGCTGCAAGTATATAAAAGCAGCAGCTTTTTGTTATCTTTTTTAGACATTTTGTGTTTTGGTGATTTTTCAGAGTCAGAGAACAAAACAAACAACAGTCCTTGCCCCAGTGATTGACCTGAAACGAGGTAGCTCTTCTGATGAGAGACAGATTGTGGACACACCACCTCATGTAGCAGCTGGGTTAAAGGTAAGACCAAGACAGCTAAAAAGTCCAGCTGTTAACAGATATTTTGGAATTGGAATTCTTTGACTGCAGTCTGGTTTTGGTTTTTTTCATTGTCTTTCCTAGTGGTCAAAGAAGTGATCATTTTCTGAAATTGATTTCCTTTGCTCAGAGGTTCTTTAATTAATGAACTTTATACAGACGTCCATGTGACACAACATGGAATTACCAAGGTTAATGTGTAGTTAAAATAAAACAGTGTTTCTAGTGTATTTCTCCTGGACAGCTTCAAAGTACTTTGCAAGACAGCAATTTGGTCAGGTAAGTAATGAATGTAATTGTAATTGCACCAGTGTTGGAACGGCACCTGTGTAGCAATTACTTACTCCAACTTAAAAATAAAAGAAAAGCTACCTAACCTTTTAAAATAGATTTCTCATGGTAAGGAATCAAAAGAAACTTTCTCCCTGAAACTTTTTCAAAGGTGATGGTTCTGAAATAGTTCTTTCAGATGTGAGAACAGTATGTGCACCTCTGTCGGTATTACATTAATAGCAGATGATGAAAAAGACTGATGAGATTGTGTGGGAGGACCCCTTGCAGATGGTTGCAACAGCAAGATACCTTAATACTTCTAGTAATGAGTTAATGGGTTTTGAAAAATCCTTGTCCATGTTGATTTGCTGCTGCTTTGGTTTTTGGCAGGGGGAGCGCATGGGGGTGATTCTTTCTTCATGGAAAAAATTGAGATGAGTGAAATGTTAGTTTTTAAGTAAAGCAAAGACTTCTTCTAGTACCAGTGGGATTAGGATATTGCCTGCCACTATAGAAGTTAGGAATAGAGTTTTGTGTTGTTGGGAGAGAGAAGGAAGCGTTAAATTCTTCCTGTCCAACTGGATGTTTCAGATCTCAGCTGAAAAAAATTCCTTTTTCTTTTTCGAGGATCCTGTACCTAGTGGTTTTTCTGCGGGAGATGTGTTGATTCCTTTGGCAGATGAGTATGATCCCATGTTTCCAAATGACTATGAAAAAGTGGTAAAACGTCAAAGAGAGGAACGACAGAGGCAACGTGAGCTGGAGAGGCAAAAAGAGATTGAAGAAAGAGAAAAGTAAGGCTTTTATTTAAACTCATGACATCTTGACAATTATGTAAAGAATAGACACATCAATTTGTTTAGTTTTATCCCTCTAAACAGTTTCAGGGAATTTCTTAAAGGTTTTGCGAAGAATACTGTTTGCTTGTAGAAACAAACACAATGTTTTAATTATTATGTTTCAATACTCTTGCTAAAATTGCCTAACAGTGCAAAAATTATAAGTTTTATCATATTTACAGCCTCTTTGGCTGAAAGACATGTTAAGTTTTTCTACATTTACTTTATTTCAATAGTAGCAGCACTATTTGGGTACTTCATGCATTATCAGACTTTGACCTTGCAAGTATTTTAGATTATTTTTTGTCAGTGTAACCTGACTACAGAAGTACCTTTCAACACTCAATGACAAACCAGCCTTTCTGCTTTTAAATGCTGCAAACTGATACATGAATGCATTCAATTTTAAAGATGTAGCTAGCACAGCCTTTGAGAGGGATAGTAACATTTTCTTCTATAATACTCTGTATTCAATTCAAGTAAGTTAGTTATGTATTTATTACTCCTTTGTCTCTGGACAAAAGAAAGTACTACTTATTTTTAATTACCTTAATTTCTTTCCCTGAAATAAGACATCTCTGTAATCATATTAAAGAAGTTTAATGCAGATTCAGTGTCCTATTGAAATAGGTGGTAAAACATCTGCCAGCCAGGCTATAAGATTACATTTCCTTGTTTTAAGTGAAATTAATAAGCCAGCTTCATCATGATATGAATCCTCTAAAGCCTATGGAATTACCAGAGTGATATTCTGTTGCCCTGTTTAGATTGTAGAAATTAGTATTTCTAGTCCTTTGGAGTTCTCTGTCCTTTCCTCGGTTATATCTTTATTGTTCTGGTGGAGGAGGAACGCCTGAGGCTCTGTCATATCAGGCAAGATCTCAGAAATCTGGGCTGTCATTTCAACAGCTTCAGCATTGATTGCTGTTTAGTCATGCTCATAGTTGTTGTATATGTGCCAAGGGGGTAGTCTTTATATATAAACATTAGAGAGAGGAAGTGAAAAATACATAATACATTCTGATTTAAAATTGGGGAAACTGTCTCAGCCAAACCTGCATCAGATGTATGCTTTGTGATAACCTGAGTGTTTGAACAGAGTGTACACTTGTTTTAAATTCACCCTGTAGATATTCAGAAATTTTGTCTGGTTCCATAGTAGTGCTATTTTTAGCGTTTTGTAGCACAGTTTTGATGGCTGCGCTGGGAATGAGATGTGATTTATGCTCCAAGCTGTGCTTTCTAACTTTTTGGGAAAAATACTTTTTCTAAAGTATTAAAATGAATAATTTCATGATCACAATAAATAACAGATGAAGGGCAAACAGTTCTTGAAGCATTTCTCAGTTAAATGTTAAAAGTTTTAATAGACTTACCTGAATCTTATTTTAGTTGCCAAGCTAGCTTCTCAATAATCTGATCATTTAAGCATGATTTTTTTTTTTAATGGATTCAGTAAATGATACTACTCTGTATAGCCTGTGATGGTGAATTTAAAAGGGATTCTGTTCAAAGCAGAGTGATTGATTAATCAATTCCATCCAACACCTCTTCCATTGTAGCCATTCAGTTGCTGTAGTCAGTTTGGAGTAGATTTATTCAGATGCTTCCTCATTTCCATACATTCTCCTTGGCCGACTTGCAAGTGGGAAGTGATCTTGCTTTGGATCATCTTATATTTTACAAAAAATAGTCCATGAGGATAAAAGCAAAGAAAGTGAAAGGTATTTACTTACACCTTCATGGAAAACATTATAAAATGCCAATTAGAGTGTAACAGTATAATTCACACTGCAAAGGTGGTATCACAAAATACAGCAAAGAATTAACTCTGATGGTTTCTTATCCTAACTTACTGTGTCTCCTAGAAGACGTAAAGACAGGCATGAAGCCAGTGGGTTTTCAAGAAGACCAGATCCAGATTCTGACGAAGATGAAGATTATGAAAGGGAGAGACGAAAAAGAAGTAAGGGAGCTCTTCATGGTTTTGATGGGGAAAGAGGAGAAAAAGAGGGGGGGAGTGTTTCACAATCCTGTTCCTGTTTCATGGATTCTATATTTCTCTGCTCTCAGCTGAGAGGTATACTGTTATTTCTGAACCTTTAGAATAAAGCCAGCATTTTTTTACACCATAACTGTTGTAATGCAGAAAACTGTACTTTCTGTGGAGGCAGATAGCAACTAAATTAGTTGTGGAAAGACCTCTTTTTACATTAGTTTCTAGATATCTCTGTTTTAAGTTTCTGCATGGTGTAGGTTCCTGGAAAGAGGTGAGGCGTGAGATAAAATCAACCTATGAGAATCACTGTTGTTCACTATTAAAAGTTACTATTCCTGCATTTGTTATTTGAATGCCCTTAGAACTAGTTAGAAGATGTGGATCTGGGTGATGAGGTATGTCTTTGCACAAACAAAATTAAATATTACTCTCTTTCAGCAACAAAGTTACAGTAAATAATTCAGGTCTGTTATTTTAAAAAAGAAAATTTCTGACAAGGGACATTTAAAATACTTGCTGTGCCTTGGAAGTTTGGGACTACATTAGAATATTGCTCATTAAAATATGGAAGGCGCTTTGTTTTTACTGTTTTGAAAGTGTAGTTAATATTGAACAGAGTATCTTTTTCATTTAGTTTGAGCAGTTTTAGAACTGAAGGCTTGTTTCACTGTAGTCTTTAAATTTTAAATCCTGTGAAATATGTTTATGATAGACACAGTATATTGTACATCATTGCAGTCTGCTGTTGTCTCCCTCGATGTGCTTTTCATCAATTTCTAGTTCACTGCTGTTGAAACTTCAGACTGCTCTCTTGCTACTTTGCTATTGATAGAGATGTATGTTGAGAATTGGCTGGTAAGGAGCCAGCAACTGTGTTAAGATTCAGTGAAGCTATTCTGAGCAGCAGACCCTAATCATATGATTTTGGCCATAGGTATGGGAGGAGCTGCCATTGCACCACCCACTTCTCTTGTTGAGAAGGACAAAGAACGTAAGTACAGAAATCTTGTTCTCTAAAACCTAGCAGTGTTTTTTTTCTCACTCAACCTTCTAATTGGTTAACTCCTCCTGCCACTCTTCCCATATGGTGGCAGAAGAACCTATACTAGTTCTTTGTTGATGGAGGGCAGCTGTGGGGAACCTGCAATATTACTGTGTTTCACATCTCTGTTCTAAAGGATTCTTTTTGTATTGCTAGAGAAGTGGTTTAGCAAACTGGTCTGGTATAACCATGTTCAGTTACTCATTTCTGATGTGAAACAAGAAATGTTGCAGACAGGTTTCTCTGGGTAGACTAGAAACCTCCACAGCGTGGAGGGGGAATTTTTCCATTACCCTTTGCTTTATGAGGTACTTCACGAATATCTTTTCTGAAGGTGTTGTGCACTACAGGCAGAATTTTATAAGTTTTTGAGGGATATGGTATCCGCTAAAGAGATAGGTGTGCACTAGGGTTTCCCTCAGTGAAGATGGCTTGAAGGTTGCAGTTGTCCACTAGATGGCATAATCTTGCTATAAGTATAAAAATTCCTTTTTTTTTTTTTGCATGTCTAATTGCCTTAAATTTTTAAAATAGTGAACAATATGTTGTGTACATTAAAAATATTAAGGAAAAAAAGAATCTTATGCACACAAACTTTTCTTGGCAATCCTGGCTTTATTTTTGAGAAAATTCAAATTTAAAAAAAAATGAAGCTTGGAGGAGTAAGTGAATGATATAATAGTGAAAGCATTTGAAGTGTGTAAACATTAAAACCAGAAAGAGATTGTTTTGGGTAAATAATTAAGAGCAATTGAGCAGTGTCAAGGAAAAGTAAATATAGGCTGGAAATGTTAGAAATATCCTGAGGAGGAGAGCTTTCAAAATGCAACATGATCTCACAAGGAAACCTTTGTAGAGCTTGTTACTTGATGCTCAAAGCTAGGCTGGAAAAACCTGAGAAAATATTGCTGTAGCAGAAGTCCCCATGTCCAGTCCCTTTGCTGCTTAAATAGGGATTCTTTTTTTTCCTCGTATGACCGAAAAAAAAGAAAAACCTTTTCCCCAAACTTCACATATGACATTTTATTTGGTAAGATACAAGCACTGGTTCACAAGAAAATAATCTAAAATTAAGTCAGTTTAAAAGTCCTTAAGGACATTCAAAAGTGTATTCTGCATATTTCCTTTAGGGTTCAGTAGGCTTTTTTTTTTTTAAATGTTGCCATTTGACTTGTCAGTGGAAGGTAGTTTAATAATCTAATCAGTATGATTGAGATATGTATGTCTATATATAGATACAGATTTCTCAATATCTCCATCTCCCAGGAAAAGTTTCAGTTCAGAAATTATCAGTGAGATCTCTTAAGAATGTGTAAATACTTTGCTTTGAGTTGCATTCTTCTGTTTTAGTGAACTGATTTCTCTTTTGTGTAAATGTACAGTGTAATTTTTTTTACAGTCCTCAGGCCCTAAGCTGTGTGCATTGATCCATTTTTGTCATAATTCTGGTCCTGATGAATGGGGCTGTTAAGTTTGCTTGCCCTCTGTCTGGATAAACTCATTGTAGTGCTGGTGGCCTCTTAATGTTTCTTTTCTCCATTTGATAAAAGGTTAATAAATGCATTATAGACCTGTGGATACAAATCCATTGTATATCCAATGAGGAAAATCCAGAATAATTCAGATCTTGTTTCTGAGAGGGGGTGAGGTTAAAGCAGCATGTGCTAAGGAAACATTCTTCTGCTTTGGATTTATGTGGAACGCTTTTTTTTGTAATTTGTTAGTATTAAAGCAGAAAAAAATACAATTAGCAGATGAGGAGCTGTCTGTAAATGAGTTAGATTGAAGACATAATACTCAAGTGTTCATAACAAGTAGGTAGTTCATGCAAAGTATTTTAGTGAAGAAGCAAATGTCTCTTTTCTTCAGCTGTAGCATCATTTCCATTTGAAGAGGACTCGAGACCTCGGGCACCGTCTTCCAAAGCAGCTATTCCTCCTCCAGTGTATGATGAGCCAGAAAGACCTCGTTCCCCCACGGGACCTAGCAACTCTTTCCTTGCTAACATGGGGTAAATGATTGACTTATGCACGTTTTGTGGGAAAAAAAAAAAAAAAAGGTGGAATCCAAAAGTTAAAATAGTTTGTCAGTAGAGAAGAACACAACCCATTGCATGTATGTGGTTAGTCTGGGTGCATGTAGTTGTAACTGGCAGGATACAGAAAAAGCAGTGGATTTATTTGATCAAGAGAAATGCGTTTGAGGTGGTTGCATTCAAGGCAGTGCTTTTAAACGAGTTCTGAAGCCACATTCCGGTATAAAGTGTTTATGGCTTCTACAAGCCAAGCTAATGTAGTATGCAGGAAAACACAGATGGCATGTTAGTTCCTCTAGGTTTCTTTTCCAGTTTTGTCTTAAATTTGCTACGTACCAGTGAGCAAGTAATTTCAGCTCTGCTTTGTTTTTTCAAAATTGAAAGCATATTTGCATGAATGTGGCAGCTGTGGCTGCAAATCTGTCCGTTTACTTTCCTGCCTTGGATTAGCATTGTGTGTAATGCTTGTGTCACTACTGTGGTAACAAAGTGAAGTTGAATTTATAGTTAAAAATGACTTAGAGACCTCATTTGAAACGTGTAGTGGTTTGCTATGGCCCTCTTATCAATCACATCGGGTGTTGTGGAAATGAAGCCACAGTGTAGTCAAAACTGGTATCCAGGAGGAACACAGACTGAAAGTGTAGTGTATTACATTGTTACACTGCATTTCCATTTTGGACACAATTTTTCATGCTTTTCTTTTTATAGTAATGTGTTTTTTTAAAAAAAACACTGTCAGAAAAAGGATAACCACCTCTAGTTAGCAATATGCCGGGACCTTCACTTCACTATAGAAAATGCTAAAAATATGACCTGACTGACTGTGACGCACAATTGGCTACTGTTTATTCTGTGACTTAGTGTTTTAACCTTTCAGCATTACATAGCTGGACTTTTTGGCCTTTTTTTAATGTGTCTCTTTATATATACTAAAATTCTACTATATATTGTAAACATACTATACTTTCATATAGTATGTTTAGAAAATAGTCTTGTAGTCACTGGTCCTGCATTTTCTGTGTAGTCTTACGTGCCTGTTGGTACAATAGGGGTGACTAAGCATAGAGTATTTGCTGTGTAAACTACTATACCATGGCATGTCTTTTGTGTCTTGGCCTATCTAGCTATGGTCTCCAAAGAAATGTCAACATGTGTAGGTATATTTTGGTTCTAAATATTCATTCAGCGGGAATTTCAAAACCTGTCAGTGGAGATGTTTTTTGTAAGGTATTTATCAAAAAAAAAGGTACCTTTAAATAGCTTGGGAACTTTAATACCTCAGTGCGTTCTTGAAAATTCAGAAAGATGAGAAATGTTTAAATTAATACTGAGGATATCCAGATTTATTATAGGAACAGCTATCAAAGCCATGTACTCTGGAGCTTATGCCAACTTTGACCTAATAGATAGTGGAATCTGATCTGATGTGGGAAGTAGAGTATTCCACATCTGCCTTTTCTCTTAAGCTTTTGATATGAGCCACTGAGAAAGATAAGAATCTGGACTAAATAGACCTTGGTCTAATCTGTTGTATGATTTATCAGCAGCCTGATGTAGTGAAAGATGTCTCTGCCCATGGCAGAGGAGCTGGTTTAGCTGATCTTTAAAAGGTCTTTTCCAACCCAGAACATTCTATAGAATATACGATGCTGACTTGCCCTGCTAATGGAAGTTGAGTGGTATTTGGAAAAGTATGAACAATTTCTAGTCAACTTCTCCAACAGCTTTTATATCTGTAATTCAGGGGTAACACACTTCATCTTCTCTGGGTGCTGGGAAATTGCTAGGTTGTAAAGTTGTGTAGAAGCTCTTATGTTTTCAGTCTCTGTAATGACATTTAGGAGGTAAAGTATTTGAGCACTCAAGAGAAATGCAATGTTAATGTTTTTTGTAAGAAGCCTTTACTAACTGATGCTTTTTCTCTTTGCAGAGGGACAGTAGCTCATAAAATCATGCAGAAGTATGGTTTCAGAGAGGGCCAGGGACTGGGAAAGCATGAACAGGGGCTTAGCACAGCACTGTCAGTGGAGAAAACAAGCAAGAGGGGTGGCAAGATCATTGTTGGCGAGTCTACAGAGAAAGGTAATGTTGTCCCACACCAATAAGTTTGTGAAATGTGCTCAGGGAAAAATAATAGTTCAGGCTCAGTGGAAGCTCCTAGACCTTTTGTTTACCATCTGTCCTTGCAGAAAATACTAGTTAGAGTTGGAAGAATGACTCGTGTTCCTTCTTGTGGAAATTGATCTTTTTTATCTTTTTTTTAAAGTGGTCCTCTATTAATTACTTTTTCTCCTCCTTTTCCCCCATCAGTTGTCCTCCTCGCATTTCCCTGCTGTTTTCTGATCTAAGGGCAACATCTAGGCTTACCGGAACTGCACCTCTCCCTGAGCACAAGTGTTGGAAGTCAGGAGATCTGATTTTTAGTTCTTAGGGGATCTGATACAGATATGAACTTATGAATAGTTTCCCTCAAAGAAGTAGCATGTTGTCAGTGCTCTAGCTTAATTCACGTTCTGTAGCAGTGATTTTTCTGCTGCTTGTTCTTCCGCATAGCTACAAGTTCTGAATAACTATTCCTCACCAATATGATGTTATGTATATGATGTATATGTAGTTACATTTTGTGGCTTTTATTCCGTTGTTTGATAACAGTAAGATTCTGATAAAAGCCCTCATATAAAGTTTGAATGAGCTTTTATCTTAAATTATTCCTTGATTCACTGTGCTATTCTTCATAGCAGAAACGGGCAAGAAAGCGGATTCTAACCCCTTGACCGAGATACTGAAATGCCCGACTAAAGTGGTCTTACTAAGGGTAAGTTGGGAGTGAGGGAACATGTCTTGATATTTGCAGCATATGTGATTGGTTGAAGTGTTTAAACCCATGTTCCTGTTACAATGACTCCGTACAGTTCAAACAGTTCTGGCCTGCAGCTCCCTGGTGCTTTGTGTTGTGCAGGAAATATTTGTCTTCCTGAGATACAAGTTGTGACTGTGAATCAACACTGCTTTCAGATTTTACAGTTACCTTGTCCTAGTACTAAGGAGCTGTCTCCTCCTGTGGCTCTTGACTGGTGAACAGAAGCTTAAAGTATTTGTGGTTGCAGTTGCATGCATCTGCGATTTGCCTACATAATTGTCTGTACAGACTACATCCAGTGAGTTAGGTTTGTTCTTTTAAATTTCAGAACATGGTAGGTGCTGGGGAAGTGGATGAAGATCTAGAAGTTGAAACTAAGGAAGAATGCGAAAAATATGGCAAGGTTGGGAAATGTGTCATCTTTGAGGTAAGAGATAATCTCTCTTTGGCTGCTCTGAAAGTAAACTGGGCACTTGTCCCTCACAACTGGCTTGTTACTGCCTTAGAGAAGGGACATAGATTAGAAGATTTTGCAGGGTCCCTTGCTGTGTTGTGATTCTGTATTTTCCGTATCTGTGAGATGCAAACTTTTAATGTCAGACACTGGGCAAAAATCTCTGGGTATTGTGTTTCTGGAACCTTTTTCTTGTGTTTTCTTCACTGCTTTTGTGAAGAACAGCAATTTAAAACAGTATTTTTGCTACTGGTCTATTTACTTCTGAGTTTGGGAAATTTTTGTTTTGTTTCAGATTCCTGGTGCCCCTGATGATGAAGCTGTAAGAATATTTTTAGAGTTTGAACGGGTTGAATCTGCCATCAAAGGTAGGATACTAAATTGTGTCCTGTGAACTTCAGAGTTAACTTCTGTAGAGAGATTAAACAGTTTCACTGATTGGACTGTTTAGCTAAAGAAATGTTTATTTTATTGAATTGCTGCTTGCTGACCTGTTCTTGGTTTTGATTCCAGCTGTTGTGGATCTCAATGGAAGATACTTTGGAGGCAGAGTCGTGAAGGCTTGTTTCTACAACCTGGACAAGTTCAGAGTACTGGATCTGGCAGAGCAAGTTTGATTTTAAAAATCTAGCTCAAGGTGTCACTGTTTTGGCAATCATGTTTTCAGCGGTAGGCTGGGAATAAAGAAGAGAAAAGTAGCTTTCCTAGCAAACTGGAAACAAGCCTCATTGAATGGATTTTTCGCATTCGTTGTGACTTAACATTTTTTGTAATATAAAGCCCTTTGAAAGTAAGATTCACGTCTGTGTGTTTTTGAATTGCACAATTCTGCTTACTGCTCTGGGGATCCTGGTTTTTTGACCTTTCAGATGACTTTGTTCTTTTGAAAACCCACTGCTGAGGAGATGCTTTGTCTGTATTCCTGCTTTCCTTGTTCTGATGCTTCATCATGGAGACCCTGTGCTGCATCCACAATAAGTGGGAAGCTTTGGAAAAGAACTATGTGCTATCATGCTTCTCTTCCCTAATGGTATCTCTCAGAGTTACGGCCTTGCTCTCGTAAGTCCTCCGTCTGCACACCAGAGTGATTTGGGGTCGTTGGACAGTTGGCAGCTAGTTTGTTCTCTCCTGACTCCAGGACAATACTTTCTATGCCAGAATGGAGACTAAAGTAACAAGGAATGAGTCTGTCTTTCTTCCCAAATCCAAAGAAAATACACATTTAACCCAGGGAAGTGGAAAGAGGAAGGAATTGAAAATGTTTAGCCATTTGAATCAGAATGAGTGAACTGTTAGCAGGAGCTCTGTGCTGTCAGGAAGCCTTTGCTAGAAATATCCAGGGTTAACTGATCACAGATCGTTACTGAAATGCTATAGGTAGAGCTGAGGGAAACTCATTCTTATATCTGGCCAGCTATCAGATTCTCACTACCTTTAATGTCACGTGTTGGTAATTGACTTTTTAATTGATCCATACCTGGCATTTGCGTGTGCTCTCTGTGTTTCTGTATTTGAAGTCAAATAACATCAGGGTTGGGCTCTTTTGGTTTTTTTGACAAGGTGTGCCAGTGGAAGTTTTCAAAGTAGGAGGCAATGGAATAAAATTCTTATATGAAATTCTGAAGAGTTAACAAACTAAACTACTAAACACTACAATTCTTTTTTTTTTTTTTCCTAATCTGATGTAAAATAATACATAGCACTCTGCTCCTGATTTTATGTTTGTTTTTTGTTTGGGAACAGTATGTGACAAAAAGTTGGCAAGAGGTGGCTATGCAATGATGGCAGTTGTCTCTGTGCTCCATTGCACCTAGAATTGTACGGATATTAAAATGGAAGTGAGCTCTGAGGGCATTTTAGCTGTTTGAAAGCTGATGCTGGATGTCTTTTTCCTGTTACACACATGTATTGGGGGGAGGGGGTATAGACCTGTAGTTGATCAACGCTGTGAATATCTCCAGTCATTGCCCTTTTATTAAGTTTTGGCTGCAGATCTATATGACAAACCCTTGGTCTTGTGTTTTGCTTATTTTGTCCGCTTGTGTTCCACCAACCTCTGTACAAACATTTGCTTGTAAAACAGAAAACGATTTTTAAAAAAACCAAACTTGTATTTTACCTACTGTGTGTTGGCTTCCTTACTGTCCTTTTCTGTTGCACAAGGCCTTCCCAGAGTCACTCACTTCTACGCCACGTGTGCCGCTGTTGGCAATCGGTGTAATCCACCATTAGAAAACCTCACTGCAGCAAAGATGAAGAACCAGCGTGACTAATACTAAAACCACAGGACTTGGGGCAATAACAATCTAGATTCTGTTACTGGCTCTGGTGTTAGTTTTCTGTTTGACCTTGAGCAACACTTTAAGGACTTTGCTACTATGTAGTAAAAGAAAGAAATTAGCCTAATACGAATTAGCATAGATTTGCTTGTAAGAGTCAAATAATTTGAGTGGAATGGTATAGAACGTTAAGCACTGATAACAGATTTAGTATGATCTGAACTTAGCTGGAAATAGGACTTGGCTTTAAGCAGCGTCATTTATTTATGGCTCTTATTTGGCAAATACTGCTGTTCTGAGTCACTAGCTGTAAGCATTTCCTAAGGTATATAGATTGTTTTTTGTGTCTTCTAACTAGCTGTTCTGCTGTTTTCTCTGTAATACCAGCTTCTGAGCTTCCAGTTTGATAAGTTGGAGGTCTTCATTTTCTGAGAATTACTTTATTGGCAAGTTTTGAACCATTTAGTTCTAAAAATCCTCATTGTGGTTGAAGACTTCTGGGTAAAATTTACCCCTCGAAATGTAGGTGAGACGACTTGTTCATTTAGTGTTTTGTGTAGGAGATAAATGCTATAAATAAAGTATTTTTCTGTACCATGGGGTCACCAAGACAGCATACCTCCTTCTGAAGCGTTAGCAGACCTATGTTGCCTTAGTTTCATCTCTTTGGTGGGTGCTGTACAAATACATGATGTTGGAGCCTGGTTTGTAAGCAGTTGTCCTTTAGGTGCTACCACAATAAATGCAAATAAATACACAGATGTGGAAACCTGAAAAGGATCAGACATACGGACTGAGGTTCTCAGTCAGACCTTACTTAACACAGATGATGTAGTTCGTAGGAAGTTTTTTGGTTTTTTTTTTTTTTCAAATGCACATTCTTCCATTTAGCCCATGTTGATGTGTTGGCTCAGACTTTCTTAGGTATGGCTGTATCTCGCATGCCTTGAAAAATTTGATTCGGAACTTCTCTACTTTCTACCTTCTCTGGAAACTTGTTACTGACTTTTATTTCTAATAGTTTCTCAAGTTACTTTTTATTTAACACTTCAGCTCTTCCTGCTTACACATCCATCCTTCTGTGATTCATCAGTGCTGTCTCAAAAGGCTCAGCAGCACCTAATTTGGAGTTCTTTGTTGCAGCTACAAAGTTTTATTTATTTGTCTTTGCATACTTGAAATTGTGCACCCACCTTTTTCTGTAAGGTACATACTTGTAACTGTGGTCTGAAGCAATAATATTATTGTTTCTCTTTTTGTGTGGTGAAGGTTATGATTTTACAGAAAATGAAGAGGATGGTGGCCTGTTAAGATCCATTTGCTTTATTGGCTTCACCCCTGTGCCAGAGGAAAGAATTCTGGATCTGTCAGCCAGGATATTTGGCTTTCTGCTGTGCTGAGCTGCAGAAGAGGTGGATTTTTCATAGATGGGTTTGAGAGCAGTGCCTGGGCTGGGGAATCTTTTTGGTGTGTCCTATGGGCAAGACTTCTAATAAAGGACTTCCCTCTTGCCCTGTGACGCTGAAGATTTTATTCTAGTTGCATAGCAGTTAAAGAGCAATCCCAGAGCCTTTATCATCCGGTCGGTATGGGTTACGTGAAACTTGGTTTATTTTTCTCATGTCCTCAGGCCCTGCCCTCTCCTTTGAAACCCCCCCGTGGACTTTCAGAAATGTGAAGGCTTTGAGGTTAGCACTACACTAAACCCATTGACAGTGAGGCACTGATGGGCACCAGGTGACTGACGCCGTACAGCATTTTCCTCCAGAGCATGATGGAAACTACAAAACAGCAGAAATACAGATGAGTCCTTGTATCTGCTCTGTGAATAAAGGCTTCTGCTGTCCAAGACTCCAGCACTGGTTTCTCTTAAACTCTGTACACTAGATCCAGACCGTTTCGGGAGAGCTTATCTTAAAATGTGTTGATTCATGTTGTGGGACCAGTCATGGGCAAGCCTTGTGCTCTGTGACCATGGAAGAACAAAGCAATTCCTGCAGAACATTGCTCTCGTTATCAGCTGGAAAAGGGACTTGTGTGAAGTCCAGCTGGGGATGGTCAGGCAGCTCCTGGCAGGATTACTGATACTTGCCGGAGTGTTTAATATGTGAACTTCCATCTCTCAAAACTGCATTTCAGGCAGGTATTTTTCATCTGTGGTGTAGTTTAGTGGATAAATACGCCTACTTTTCCTTTTTCTGAATGTTGGCTTGCTGCGGTGTTCTGGAGAAACAACTGTTTGAGCTGAGGAGGTAGGAGTACTGGTGCTCAGAGTAATGCATGAGATGTTTGTGGGTTTTTTGAGGTGCTGGTTGATTGAATAACTGGTCTGTGTGTGAGAGGAGACAAATCTCACGGGAAGTCTCTCATCTGTGCCTGTTACGCATTTGCAGAGTGAGCTTGAAAATGAACCTTTTCCTCAAACGACTCCAGTGACATTTTATGCAGTATAGAGGATGATAGGATTTTTCAAGGATGCACAAACTAGCAATTATATGAGTTGCTTATAATGTCAGCCGGCTCCAGAGCCTACGGGCCTTAACCCCTGGGCAGCTCTAGACGTAATCATAGATATTTATGTCTTGTGTCAGGACTAACAAATGAGTAGCTGCTCCTTTCTCCTCCTCACTGAAGGATCTGTGAACTCTGAAACTTTCTTTACATGAGCGTTTAGGATGGTAATATCACCTCTCTGCAGGCCAACGGCTTAGATGTGCTGTTTGCTTTGAATGTTCGGGGTAATTTTACTTCCTATTTACTGCAAAAAATCTGTCACTCAAGATGCAACTCTGCAAGTTAGTGGTGAGGAGGAGAAAACAGAGTAAAGTCTGCAGGGCTTCTAGCTGCTGGAAGAAAAGGTGGGCAAACCTAAAGTCTTCCACTTCTATGTTCCTCAAGAGAGAAATGGATGGCAAAGTCCCTTTCTGTATGCTCATGCTTGATAGCTTGCCCTGAATCATGCAGCAGCTGTCAATAAATACAAATGTGAGTCTGTAGTGAGCTGTGCTCCTTTAGTGATCAGGTTGGTCTGGGCGTTGCTCGTGGCTTTCTGTACACAGCAGCAACCGCACAGCTTTCGGTATCAGTAAGCGAAGTCCTGCTTGAATGGGGAGGGGAAATAAAGTGAGGTAGAAAAGCTGCAATGGAAAACCAGAGAGGTGAAAGCCAAAGAAAACTCCAATTAATTGGAGAAGGCATAGCGTGCATACTTATGCAGATTTTTCCTCTTATATCTGCTTTCTCTGATTTCTGATCCCTGCTGAGCTCATGATTGTGGCTTCACGGCATTTCCTTTCTTTTCCTTATCTTTTTTTACCATCAGGAAATAGGGAAATCCCAAAGCATGGGCATTCATGCTGCATTTAGAATCACAGAATAGAATCATA